AAAAAAAAAAAAAAAAAACTTTTGATCGATGATGTAACCGGATCACCACGAGAATAGTACACACAATACAGTACGTGTAATTGCGAGCACCGGATAATCCGTCACTGCTCTCTTTTTCCCGGCTTGTTGTATAAAACGACAATTGCAACAACATTGCAGCTGATGCGAGTTGGTTTACAAAGACAGGGTGGTAACAGATTTTTTTTTCTAAACACGCAATATTAAGCTCGTTTATAGGCCATGTTGTATGCGTGGAGCTTTTTTTTATAAAGCATGTATATGAATGTGTACACAGTTTTTCCGCAGAAATTGGAAAATAATTTTTTTTCCATCGACACCACGTGTATTTGATGTATACGGAGGGTGTGGGCGAGCGCGTGGGAATATGTGTACGTGGGCGTTTTTGTTTGTTTTCTCCCAAATTTATTTTGGGAATCGCGTTTTTGCGAGGAGCTTTTGAATCGAGTCAGTTTGCGCTCGGGAAATCGATATGTTCTGGTTTTCGCGATAAATATGTGTGTTTGTTTAATGAAAATTTTGGACGCGATTGCGAAGGTATTTGTTTTTCGTAAAATAAGCGCGCTGAGCTTATTCGATGGATATATAAATAAGTAACGTGATTTGTGATGTAATTTTAATCTTATCCGATAGCATTAAAATAATTTTCCATGAATAATTCATGCCTTATTTTACTGTCTGAAACCTTTGCCCTTGTCTACCTCTTGCCTCGGCGTTGTAGGACCTTGAGTCCATTGTCGACTAAATAAATTCAACTCAACTCAACTCTCTCTTTTTTTTTTGCTACTAAAGCTTTTAACACTGATAGAAGCACGAGTGTTTTCACTAAAGTTAAATTTTTTATTTCCACAAAGCTTTTTTGTTGATAAACAAAAAAAAGGGAAAATTATTTCGTGCCAAATAAAAATAGACGTCGGTTTTCTCTCTCGGCCTCTATTTAAATGCTGCCTTTTGATCTTAGGTTATTAATAATTCTTGGCACGATTTACTGCGGCGTTTGTGTGTATCTCGAAAAAAGTGCCTTTTTATTTTTCAATTTGAAATTGCTTGCATACAAATTTTTAATTAAACGTTGATAAAAAGTTTTAAAAAAAGTTAAGAAATTAAAAAATATACATATAATTAGTTATTTTGTACGATAATTTTCTAGTAAACATAATTAATTTGGTTGGTTACAAAAATTTACTTTAAACATATTTTAATTTTCAAATCCTGATTTTAAAATTTATAAAATTTGAAGTAGTTTAGTCGAAAATACAATTTTATCCTGCTGGTTTCGTGCAGACAGTAGGACCTTGAAGATCGACTTTTATGCATACAATGTGTGGGTTTTCCTTTGGAAATTTTTTCCATCATACTGGATCGTGGTAATAAAATATGAACGGGGTTATTCCATAGTTTGTTTTTTGTTTTAATTTGAGGTTAACATGTATCTTCATGATTATTTGTTTGTACGAGAAGTATTGAAATAAAAAAAAAACAAAATTCTTTTTGTCCTCCCGTATTAACACTGAATCATTGGGGTATAAAAAAAAAAAAAAAAAAAAAGACCAATCCTAAATACACCCTCGTGCATCATAAACTTATTTAATGATTCCGAGAAAAAGTCAAGAAATCCACTTTAACAAAACACTAAATCCAATCACCGGCCGCTCAGTCTATGCATGCATACGCTTCAAAGCACCCAATAACCAAAGTGCACACGGTGATCTCCCCCCACCCCTCTGCTCTTACTCCACCATTCACTCAATAACAACCTCATCCGATAGCGCATGTATCCCACTTCCATCCGATTTGCTTTTGCCACACTAAAACCACCGCTCACGAATACCAAACACATGCAAAGAGAGAGAGAGAGAGAGC